GACATCATGAAAGAATAATCTTTTGATGTTCAGTCCTAAGGACACTTTCCACAGAGTAAGTCCCTTTGAGAAGACCTGAGTAGTATTCTGAGTAGACCTACTTAGGAATACTCTCTAAATCTTTCCAAACAATCTACCAAAGACTAACATGAGTGGTCAGCTGGGGGGACCACTCTCCACAATGTTTTTGAACGTACTTTAGCTAGGTCAGCCTCGTATGAAATTGGGCCTAGATACTGTGTTTAAGCCTTTGTAAATTGTACTGATGTCAGTGGGTATTGGGTACAAGAACTCAGATTTAAAAGGGCTGCTGATCAATACATTTCAGTAGAATAGGATGGAATTCTGTGAAAGAGGAAGATAAGGGAAGAAACTGAAGCTATACATTTGTTTCAGACACAGTATGTGAAACCAAAGAAAAAGTAAAAGAACTAGTAAAGAAGAAAGAAACAATTTTAATAATAGAGAAAAATTACAGCAGGTTGTAACTGGAAAATAAACAGAAAGATCTCAAGAGGATTAAAATATTGGTACCATATATCCTTAGGTTAGCTGTGTTGCAAAAGAATTCTCTGTACATTTCTACGCAGAATTGGATGGTTTCTTAAAATGTATACTTTTGATTCCTGATATGCACTACTTTAGTCAACAAAGCCTGATCCATGACCAGTTAATATTTTAATCCTTGGAAGAAAGCCTTGTTGGGTTTAACAGGACTACTTATGAGTAAGCATGTCCAGGACGTTGATCAGTGACAGTCATTGTATTTACACACACATGGGATTATGTCAGACTGCCTTAGAGTTTGTCAGACCATTGGTCTATTGAGATCAGTAATGTCTGCTCTGACTGGCAATGACTCTTTAGGGTCTCAGATAGTGGTCACATCACCTGATCATTTAATCTTAAGGCACCAGGGACTTCTGCATGCCAAACAGATCATCTACCACTGAGTCACATGTCCTTTGCCTTCCTCTGTGTTAGGAGGAGTCTCTTGCTTTTTAAAAAATACAGTGGCTCATATATATCGAATGTTTCCCAAGCACATGACACTGTGAGGCACATTTCATCTTTGTTTTTCAGTTCTGTGACTGACCTGCCTTTTCACACCTTACAATTATATATCACACAGTCATGATGTTCTCCTAGAGATGGGAGAAGTCTGTTCTCAGCTGCTTGTGTCCACATAGCATCTGGATATGTGACCTGGTCTTTTAACAGAGGCATCCAAGGCCGCCTCACAGAAATTTCTGTGATCATTTTAGCACATTTTTGGCTCTCAATACGTTCCAAATTGATGTCAAAAAGATGCAGACGTACCTGTGTATGGCCCAGGCCATACATAGCATTGTCAGTTTGAATATGTTCCTGAGAACAGTCAGATCACATTGCATGGAAATACCTGACCTGGCCCACTGAGATGAGGCAGTGCTCTCATTAAATGTCAGAGCTCATCCCAACATGACTTGAGTGGCTTAACTGTTACAACATATGTCCTGCATGCATTGGTCTAGCCCCGGAAACGTAAGCAGCAACTGTTTATGTGAACTGGATTATAGGTATGCCCAGGGCTTTTTTTCTGGGGGTACGTGCTGAAACAGAGTTCTGGAACCTCTTCGACAAAATTATTTTTAAAAAGTTTAAAAGTTCATGAGTTTTCAGTATACAGATTGAAAACTTCATTTTCCTCTTGAGAATTCTGGCACCTCTTTTGCAAAAAATAAAAAATGCCCTGGGTATGCCACTGCCATCATTGTTCATCTAACATTCTAAAGGAATTCAAAATGGTGGATCACAATTGCAAAATTTGGCAATGGAGGTAACATAACCTTTATTTTAGGCTGCTTTATAGTGATTCTGGGTCTCTTGGACATTCTCTATGGCTGAGTTCAGACTGGCAGTGAGAGGGAGTTGTGGCAAAAAAGACCCGGAACAGTTTTCCCAGTCACACTGCACCGACTGATGTGGAAGGATACCGGGGAGGAGGCACAAGGGAACGTTCACACTGTTGGCCCGCCCAATAAAAAATGCCCTGGGTATGCCACTGCCATCATTGTTCATCTAACATTCTAAAGGAATTCAAAATGGTGGATCACAATTGCAAAATTTGGCAATGGAGGTAACATAACCTTTATTTTAGGCTGCTTTATAGTGATTCTGGGTCTCTTGGACATTCTCTATGGCTGAGTTCAGACTGGCAGTGAGAGGGAGTTGTGGCAAAAAAGACCCGGAACAGTTTTCCCAGTCACACTGCACCGACTGATGTGGAAGGATACCGGGGAGGAGGCACAAGGGAACGTTCACACTGTTGGCCCGCCCCTACTGGAGGCACGGCTGCAAAACGTGGCTTTCTATTTGGTAATCTGGAGATATGTGTTTATGCGCATAAGGGCACAAGAAAAATGTGGCTTTTGGTGTTCACACCTTGTTGGTGCGGGATGGACATGGTATAATCACGCTTTCCAGGGTTCAATACCACTTTCACCTGGTATCTTTTAAACTTGGGAGGGAAGCATTACGAGATGGGTTGAGTACGGCTGGGGAACGCCGGACAGATGTCCCTGTGTGAAAGGCCCCTTTAATCCGTTTGTGAAACGTTTCTGAAATGTGCCTATATTGGGCCAAACTGCCAGTCTGAACTCAGCCTATGCCTTGGCAAGTAGAGCAAAGAAGAGGAAACAAAGCATGACACTGAGGTCACAATTGGCTCTAAGGCCTCCAAGACCTAGTTTGCAGGGATAATGTTGCTGCTTTATACCAAGGCCTAGAAGCTTCTATGTGATATGGGAGGTGTTTCAAATATCTGAAATAACAATCTAGACTCAGTTTGGAACTCTAGAGCAGGGATGTCAAGCATAAGGCTCGGGGCTGATACTGGCCCATCCAGGGCACTTACCCAGCCCATAAGCAACTGGTATGTATGGAATTATAAGGCATTCCCCCTTGGAAAAAGTCTTGCATATGATTAAATACATTTATTGGGCTTTTGTGCGTTCTCCAGTAAATCAATTACTTTTGTTTGTATTTTAAGTAAACAATAATCGCTTTAATTGGGTTTGCCTGTGTGCATTATAAACTTTATATCTCCAGTACCTGGGATTACATTTTATGACACACATGGCCTGGCCTGACAAAGTAATATTTATGTCAGATCCAGCCCTTGTAATAAATGAGTTTGATACCTCTGCTCTAGATAAACAGTTTAATTTGTCTAAATCATTTTCAAACTAGACTGAAGAGAATTCGCCTACTTCTGGTGACTGCATTTGTCCAAGCTGTGACTCTACTACCTTACTGTTTATCTGTATCCATCTCAAAAATTCTCCTATCTTAAATTAATTCATGTAATCTATCCATTGGGCTGCTTTAGCTGGAGTATCTTTACATTGTGAATATACATTAAAGTAAACAGTCTAAATTTTCCGTAAAAGGGTGGGAAAAGTCCACCCACCCATTTTAACTGACCTAATTATGTTAACAATAGCATTGTTAAATCTGCATTCAATGATTTAGTGACTGTTTAGAGACTATTTTCTAGAATTACAGCACAGACAATATAGAGATACTGGGCATGGTAAACATTGTTCTTTTGAATCACAACCTTAATAAAACAGGCAGAAACTAGCCCTGGAAACTCAGCAGAACGTGGCATGGTAACAGTGTCTTGATCCTCCTGGTCCACAGTGTATTAATTAAAAGCAGGGTGAAAGAGCAGGAACAGAAGAAAAAGAAATACCAGTGGAAGAAGCAGGATTGGAAAGCCCACAGTGAAAATGAGAATGTGCCCAAGTGATCAGCAGAAAGATGAGGTCAGGAATCATGGCAATGTCATTAGACAGTTATTTATAAGGCACATACTGCTCTGGTTGCAAAACTGGTATTCAAGGACATATCCCTTCAGTTTTTAGTAGTTATGTTTTCATACGAACATATTGCACCACATCCACAGCTGTAGAATCCAGCTTATTCTCTGACTCTTCAACAGTTCTAATAGTCTTTCTCCCATGATTCTTCATTTTCTGCTAGCACTGAGGAGGTCAGCATTTCCTAAAAATTGGAAACATTGGACCTTTCCTGCCTATACCTCCCTAAAACATTCCTTCTTCCAAACACAGTAAAACCTGTCCCCCAACTGGCACCTCTGAGGGGGGAGGGGAAATCAGAGGTAATTCATGATTGTGGCTCACAGCTGAGATGCCAATTTACCTTCTAAGCTCCCAGTTTTGCAAAGGAGCCCCAAGAGCACAGAACCAGAGGCTGACCACCAGTTCTCATTTGCATACATTATTTTTGTGGTTATGAGGACTTGAAATTGCATGAAGCAATTCACTGTGAAGCAATCACAGTGAATATATGAGAGGGCCTATGATGGTGAAAGAGCTGAAGCTTTAAGTGGAGAATCCAGGTGATGTTGCTTATGATTTCGCCATGTCCAAATTGCAGATTCAGAAAAGGAAAATATCCCCAACTGCAAATTTGGGCACAATACTTTGTCCTTATTTTTAATTTATTCTCAGAAGACTGTGAAGGCACTTTTAAAAATAAATCTAATATCATTCACTGGGACTGTGATTGCCTTCAACCCCTTTGGCCAACAGACAACTGTTGTTTCCCCTTTCCTGCCCCAAACCCCATGAAAGCTATATTCTAACTGTTGAAATACTGTTGAAATACAGTCTTCACTGTATATGTGTGTACTGAAGCACTAACACCTAGTATCCTGCTTACTTAATTTTGAGTGGCACATGTCCATTGTTGGACACTGTGTTTGCATATGTATTAAAAATGTGTCGTCTCAAATTTGTATTCTTTTGGATTCATTTAAAATTTTAGGGGGTTTTTTTTGGACCCAGATATCTTGTGATATATCTGAACATTATTAAGTAAGCTGAGGATCACTTTGGGTGCCAGATCACCACTGCAAACAATTCATTGCAAGCAAAGTGGACACTGAATTGTAGCTATAAGTTTTACTCTTCAATGGCTGATGGCTTCCACACCTGTGCTGTAACACCGACTTTCTTGGCTGAAAACTTTGGCCTTGGAGTAGTACATGAAGAAGATACAGCTGGTTCTTGCTTCAGAAAAGTAGGGTAGCCTGTTGACTCACAGGACTCAATTACAGGGCTAGAGGCATTTGACTGAAAGAAAGGCTGTGAACTGTAGGCTGGAACAGAGTACACTGAAGATGCTCTGACATTAGCTGGAGAACCAGCGTTAAATGATCTCGAAGGTAACTCTTGTTTTGAAGCAGGCACTGAGTCAAACTTTGCAGGTTGCTTAGGAACTAAGCCTTCCTTTTTATCAGAGGGAGGTTGAAAAGTAAATAAGGATGCATTAAGCTGGTATGGCTGATGCTTCATAACCTCCAAAGCACTGAGTGCTTTCTTGGGTTTCTTCTTGGTAGTCTTGGCAACACTGGCTGACTTTGATTGTGGTTTGGTAGCAGCAAGAGGATAAGATGGGGATTGGATGGGGTTATAAGCCACAGGCGGTGGTGCTCGGACATTAGATGAATATTTCCAGGAAGATGGTAAAGATGGGGTGGGTGATGATGCCCTGGCCATATGGGCCTGCACAGTTTCTGAGTCCACTATGTACTTTTCCATCCGTGATTGTCTTTTGGCAAATAGTTTTGCTCCCTTCCCACTCAAAGCCTGTGGCATCTCAAAAGCTGGCCCCACTCCTCCAGCAAGGACAGCATTTCCTAGTGGTGTGGTGGGTGTCATTTTTGGTGTATAGTTTTGGTGTGATGCAGCTATTTGAGGCCCTTTCAAAGGCCCAGCCAGGTTAAGAGTACTTGGGGGCTGCGGAGGGGGATAAGCAGGTTGTGCTGTTTTGACAGGGGCTGGACTCGCCACTTCAGGTGATCTTGGCACTGGAAAAGCAGGTGGCTGGGCAACAGCAACAGCTGGAGGTGACCAGACTGGTGAAATGGGTGTTGTGTCAGTAGGAGAAACCTTTAGTGAGGGTTTTGGAGCAACTGGAGGAGGAACTTTCTGTTTGGCTGCCTGGATTTGCATGAAATTGCAGGCCTCTGCTCCCAAACTGAGGTAGTCTTCTTCCGGACCTGATTCGAAGCCCGTGGCTGTACCTTTCTTGCCTTCTGAATTCTGCACCAGGGACAAAAGGGCGGGATTAGGACTCAATTTGGGAGTATCTTTGAAAGTAAACATAGGCTTTGCCGTGTTTCTTCTTTTTGCTTCCTGCAAGATTCCAGTTCTTTTGGCAGGCACCGCGATCCTTTCATCCCTGGATGCAATCTGTTCTGTTGATTCTGTTGGAGACCATAAAGCTGGCTGAGCTGTGTTGGCAACTGGAGTCAAAGCAGTTCTATATAGGGCTTCAGGTGGTGGGCTGGCTGAAGTGTAGGGAGCTGGTGCAGGAAGATCTGAGAGAGGGCTGGTCATGCTCCTGGTGGGTGAAAATGGTGCCGCTGCTTTGTTCTGTATATTTGGGAAAGGCTTGGCTGTTCTGTTTAAGCTTGCCGATTTAAGGCTTTCAGAAGATTGATATGACAGGTTTGCCTCAGGGGCTCCTCCGATGCCATTTTGTTGTATTGTAGTGCTAGGACTGCGGCTCACCTCTATGTAGCTCTTGCTCACATGGCTCTGCTTTCTCGAAGCTTCTTCCCGTTTCACCTGGTATAAGGAGGAGCTAATTTTGGAGGTGTTCTCTGTTGTGGTAGTCTCTCGGTGCCCCTCAGTACTATGCACCACCTGCATCTTTATTGCTTCTTGCTCAGCTGTTACCTGATCTACCCTTTGCCGCCTTTTGGCAAACATGAGTGCCCCTTTGCCTTTGCTCTCTGGAAGCATCTGCATCTCGTCCACACTTTTTGGTTTCTTCTCAACCTCAAGGAGACCGGAGTCCCAGTCAAATGTCACAATCCGGTCTTCTTTGTCAAGGTCAGAGAATAAATCTTCATCGATTTCTGACTCACTTGTGCCAAGTAAGGTTACTTCAAAGGTGTTATCTTTTTCACTTTCTTCTTCACCCTCAAATTCGTCACCCTCGTCCTCGTACCGCTCTAGTTCTCCAGTGCCGTAGCTTACCAAAGTATATTTCCTGGCCCTTTGGCGACGCTTCTTGAACATCAACACCCCCTTGGAGTTGGGATTGGGAGCTGCCGTCAGTAATAGGGCAATGCTCTTACATTTAGACTTGGCTTCTTTCACCTGCTTTTCTGACAGGCTCTCGCTTCGTCTGAGCCCTGTGGAAAAAGATTAAAGAACATATGTCAATGCGCAGAGCCCAGTGTAACATGAGAGCAATTTTAACCCAGAAGCTACACAATAGCTATTTGGGATTCGAGAGACAGTAATACTAAATCTTTCTTTCTCTGGAGCTGGAATACCCCCTTACGCAAATATGCTTGGGCACGGCATTAAAATTAATCTTTTCCCACAGTTCCAACCATGATAAAAATTTCATAGCAGTCATTCCTCCCTGACTGACGTTCTTTGAACAATTTTTTTCTTACAGATTTGCTAGCTCAACTTACAAGAGCTTTTGATGTTACATATCTCTTACTGTCTGTGTACTTATATAAGCCCATATAAGACAAGAGTGAAATCAGCCATGTCACCTAGATGTACACATATTATAGATGTTGACTTAGGCATAGATGCTGTAAGAATGTTATCTGTTCATCTGCACAAGAGCCAGTCCTGATACGGTAACTGGTTCCCTTAAGACATATGAGTAAATTCTTCATTGAAACACTGGCTGAAGAGGCATTTAGAGTGTAACTTGTCCAGAGGTCTTATTCCAAACGCATTATGAAATAAAGTAATTTCATATAAGAAACACAATACTAGCTTTTAGTCTAGAGGGTGTAACAACTCCTGCAAGAAACAGTGTATTTCAGTGGTGTATACTTTCTAAGAGACAGTTGTAGTTTGACTGGGGAGATACAAACTTGTGGAATTTATTCTCAAAGACAATATATTTTATTTAATGTTTTCAGTCTGGCCGAAGATGCATTATTTAAGCTGAGTATTCAGGAACCCACAGGACACATATTTAAATAACTAGATAGGTGAACATTACAGTCCTATGCAGAGTGATTACAGTCTGTCCAGTGATTTCCATGGGTTTATCCTGAAAGAACCGCGCACAGGATTGCAAACTAAGGCTCATGGACTGCAGCAGCTGCTGCTACTTTTGCTACTACTACTTGCTGCTCCCATTTATATCTTTTTTATAACAAGTGAGATCTGATTCCATTGAGAGGAGTAGGTCAGGTTCAAAGGAGCAAGCAGATCCAGTTATAGTGTGGGCCTAAACAGAGGTTACACCCTTCTGAGTCCACTGATGTCAAGGAATGTAGAAGGGTTCATTGTAGTCCATGGGCTTAGAAGGGTGTAACATCTGCTTACAGCTGTCCTGTTAATTTATTATTGGTAGTGTGAAAATAATGGCTGGAAATGACTAGAAATCTTATTAAAGAACTGCCTAAACTTCATTAAGTGAATCACTCCAGGAAAAAAAACAATGTAGGAGAGCATACAAAAATTGCACAATTACTTCCACATGCCCAAGGAAGCTTTGTGTTTGTTTTTCTCAAAGAGCGGTTTCTCATGTGGCCTAATAAATCACTGTTGCAACTGAGGGGGGTTTCAAACATGTGGCATGCATTTTCCAAAGGGGAAAAAAGTCCACTCATTATGTCCAAGCCCTTGGCCATGCGTAAAGTGGCTACCTGGATTTTGGACAACAGCATCCTCTCTTGTCTTATAGCAGGCTGTGTACTTTTGCCGCTGAATTACAGGACACAAGATATCTCAGAAACTTGTACAATGACAGGCACCCTTTTTAGTTGTTATGATTTTGGCACATATGCTGTCCTCTGTGTGTTGCCCTGTTCACACAAATCAGCTGGCTGGATCCCACCCCTGTATTTTCATACATGTATCTTCATGTTCAAGCAAGCATATATTCATTCTGTCATATAAGAATGCTTGTAAACAATATCTGGAAACTGATCACTCTTTGGGCAAATACATGTATCAGACAAATAATAATATTTTCACATTACAAAACACATGCATCTTCAGACACTTCTGAACATGTGACATGATAAGCAGTCAGTCTGAATGTTAAAACTACAGAATATGGTCCATACATGCTTTGTCCTTTCACAGTCTTGTTTACTTGCAGGGTGGGATATGCTTCCTCTTTTGCTTTGGAAACATCACACAGTGTTGTAACCAATGTTCCCTCTAAGCTGTGGAGTCTTGTGAACAAAAAGTCTACTTTATGAGCTACTGGCATTGACGTTGTGAGCCAGTGATTTGGCTGCTGCATAAATTAGCTTGCTCTGGAGCCATCCTTCCTGAGCGAAGACAAAAATGTGTGAGCCAGAGGCTAAAAAACTGTGAGCTAGCTCACACTAACTCAGCTTAGAGGGAACACTGGTTGTAACATAACCATGTCTGCAGTCACACGGAGCATTAGCCACGCTACTGAGATGGATGATAGGCGGATTTTCCAGGCACGATCACACCGCAACATCTGGGAAGCTTAGAGCTCCCATGGCGAACCCAAGGCTTCCCACCGAAGATGCGGAGTTAAAAACTAGTACCTTTGGGGTACTAGTTTCCGGAAACCGTGGGGCAAGGGCTGGTGTCTGATCGCGTTTCCGATGGTAGTCCGTGGCATCCGGTGCCTGCCCATATCCCATCGCAAACAGGTTTTCCCCCCAAGTCTCCACAGGATGCGCACAAGCACCCAATGGCGCATGCGCACAAAGAGGAAAGTGAAAGTTCCGTTGCTCCGCAGAATCGCGCATGCCGTTGGTGAGATTGCGCTGCGCCGCTTCTTTGCCGCGCTGCAGGATCGTCGTGTGATCGCCACCTCCCCCCGAACCACGGGACATCGGCGGGACGTGGGATCCGGCGGCCGTGCGTTAATTTGCTCCGGGGCAAACAGCCATGCTCCCCCCCCCCCGCATTTTTTGGCCTTTGTGACCGGGGCCCATGTGATTTTTTTCCCCCAGAGACCAAAAGGGAGCAATTCTGAGCAGATGTATTCAGAGGTAAATCCAATGTTATTCAAAAGAGCTTAATTCCCCCCCCCCCAAAAAAAGGATTGCACTATAAAAGATTGGTCCAATTCAGGGAATATCAGTGCACTCCTAAACAGTTATATCATTCTAAATCCATTGAACTGTATTCAGGATTGCACTGAATGATTTGAGCAGTCAAATCCATTTCAGATACATACCAGGAGACAAAAACCCTACCACTAGCTCCACATGCACCAAGGGACTTTGAACATACTTCTCAAGCAGCATTTTTCATGCCACATAGCAAACTGCTTCTGAAACTGCAGAGTTTCTAAAGCACTTTCTGCCTGACTGTGCGCGGCAGCCTGCTGTTCAAAGAAAAAGAATCCCACTGAGCATATTCTAGCGCTTGGACATACCTAAACCTAAAGCTTCTCTTTGAGTAACAGCCTAAGTTTATATTTTTAGAAATGGATGCCTTTCTTTTAAAGACAAGTTAAAGTTTAAGAGAAGTTAAAGAGAAATTAAATGCATTTCATGCATTTGCAAATTGGCAATGATTTTTTTAAAAAAAATACATATTATATGAAAATATAAATGCAACTCTCCCCCCCCCCTTTCTAAACAGACTATGTAATTTGACAGGCACAACCCGACAGTTGCCACTTGCTTCAATACCAAAATGCAAAGTATGCATACTGCTCTTTTATTCTCCATTTAATATGACATAAATATGTGGATTACGCACAGACACTTTAAGCATAAGTAACAGCTTAATCCACATGCCAATACAAACAGTTATCATTCTAAAAATATGCTTATAGAGGAATTAGTGACGGGTTAGCATGCTTATCCCAGCCGTCTGCGTAAGATAGTTCAATGCGACCGTATATCGCTGTGCCGTTGCCATTTTGCAATGAAATCCCTTGACAGAATTCTTGAAATAGTCAGGAATGAATGAATGAGTGCCAGCAAGAGAAGCAAACTGATAAACAGGTGCTTTCAGAACCCAGCATTAGAATTTTGTCTTTTTAGTGCTGTGATTATTTTGTTCTCCACTTTATTTCAGATGAAGGCGTTTGCTTAGATTTTGCACTGACCTCTGGGCATGGAAGGTAGAAGGAATAGTAAGTTCACTTTACAGTCTAGGGAAGCCTTGCAAAACTGAAAGGATCATATAACTGGCCAAAAATACACATGCTGGTGTCTGTCAAACTGACTTTCTGCAAGCATCATCAAGCCTCACTACTATGCCTTTTTTTAATTCTTCCTGGCTTTTAATAGAAGTAGCATCATTTGTATTTTTAAAGATGCCTGTCAATGAAAGTATGCAACGGTCTGCTCAACAAAGCTGTCTCTCCTGGTATAAACTTTATTGAAATGACTTTCAAATCTTTGTTAAGAAACCTGGTAAAGGCTGTCTTTGTATGAGAATTTTTTATTTTATTATCTTTTTTTGTGAAAAGTGGAAAAATAGTAGCCACAGTGTCACAAAACAGTATTATACAGTCACACAGCAGTCATTATAATGTCTTCAATTCCCATAACACTGAATCTGAAAGAACTATATCAAAACAAAAGACTTGTACTAAACATTTTTACAGGCGCACGAAGAAGCAAGAAAACCTCAGGAAAATCCTGTTTATGTATTAATACTTATGCAATTGTGCTTTGAAATATATATTAAGAAATGGAACCCCACCCCACCCCAGCAATGCAACCGGTTTAGCTGTGGCATACTTACTGGCGTGCCTTGCCCTGTGTTTGTGAGGTCTGCTATGTTCCCTTTCAGAGTGCTGGTCGTCTTCTCCCTGCTCTGTGCCTTCGGATGAGATTCCAAAGGAGACCACAGAAGGAGGTGCTTCGGACTGCCCTCCTTCCACTTGAGAATTTACACACCCCTTTTCAGTCAGAGACCTGGAGGCTTCCTTCTCCCTGTCGGAACAGTCTAGGATCACTTCCACCTTAGTGAAAGGTGGCTCCTTTGTCTCAGCTTCTGAGGCTGCTTTGACCTCTTTGCAAGGAGCAATCTGGAATGTTCGGCTCGAGTACTGGACAGATGGGTCCTTTTCAGCAGCGGGAGCTGAAGTCACCAAGCGACTCCCATGTTGCTGTAGATTGGATCCTGTTTCTGAAGACTTGTACTTTTCAGCTCCCAGAACATTCAGGCTAGGAACACTGCTGTCTTTGTGCCTGTCATGCGAGAGGGACAACTGCAGCTCCACTGTAGGAACTGCCCTTTCTCCAGAGAAAGCCGGCACACTGATCAAGTGTGCTTTGGGGGCTTCTATCACTTTGGGAGGGATCTTATGATAATGTGCTATTTCTCTTTCTTGCTTTGCCATGGAAGGGTCCACCACAGCACTTTGCTGCTCAATTTGGAACATTTCCTTGGTTGCCCCTGTGACCTGCACTTCCATGTGGGGCCTTTGTATGGCTGTCCTGATTTGCAGAGTGGTGCTTTCTTTATATTCGTTATTTTTAATGTTATAGCTGTCTCTGTTTTCTGTTTCAGGACCGAGAGTCTCATTTGTCCCACTTGAAGACCTGCAGACACAAACACACAAAACCCAAAAATAATATTATGCTTACTATATTAATATACCCTCAAAGAAATCTTTCATATAGCCAGTGTAATATAGCAGATAACATTGCTTGACTGAAGGTAGAGAGGTGAGACCAGATTCTCAGTGGTGAAGTTGATTTGGTAATTGTGTGTTGCCAACCCTGGATTGAGAAATTCCTAGAGATTTGGGGGTGTGCAGGCTGGGAAAAGCAGGGTTTGTGAGGGGGTATAATGTCACAGAGTCCACCCTCCAAAGCAGCCATTTTCTCCAGGGAAACTTATCTCTGCAAATCAGCTGTAAATTTCGGGAGATCTCCAGGCCAACTCTGGTTTTGGAAATTCTTGGAGATTTGGGAGTAGAACCTGGTGAGGGCAGAGTTTGGGGAATGGAGGGACCTCAGTGGGGTGTAATGCTGTAGAATCCACCCTCCAAAGCAGCTATTTTCTCCGCAGGAACTGATCTCTGTCATCTGGACATCATTTGTAATTCCACAGGATATCCAGGCCCCACCTGGAGGTTGGCAAATTGGGTTGCCAAGTCTAGGTGGGGAAATTCCTGGCATTCTAGGGGTGGAGCCAGGGGAGGGTGGGGTCTGGGAAGGGAGATATCTCAGCAAGGTATTATGGTATCTACCCTCCAGGGGAATTAATCTGTATAGTCTGGAGATTAGTTGCAATTCTAGGAGATCTCCATCCCCATCTGGAGGTTTGCAGCCCTAAGCCACACCTGGATATTGGAAACCCTATTTACCTCAGAGGTTGTTTTGATAATAAAGTGGCATAACCTTGTGTGGTGCTTGCTGCCCTGAGCTCCACAGAGAAATTATAACATACAAATACAGACAAGGAATCCTAGAATTCAGAGAGGCCTTACAGGACATCAAGTCCAACCTCCTGCTCAATGAAAGAAATCTAAAGGTAGAGAGTTTCTCATAGATACGATGTACAGCCTGTAGTAAAAGACCTTTAGTGAAGGGTAGCCCCAACCTCAGGAAACTGGCTACATAGTTGTACTGCTCTAACCATTCAAATATAAGGCCTACACAGTTGATACTTTCAGTAAAAAATTGGAATATCCTTGTCAGTGTATCTTTGTAATTTTTCTCTAAGGATTGTGAATATCCTATATTCTGAGGTCTCGTTGGACAGAATTTCAACTATATCAATTATTTTAGTTACTATTTTGACTAATGTGCCTTTAGATAATTCATAAGTACTAATTATACCTGGTTTTCATAAATACTCCCACATTGCCTTCATGCAACCATTGGAAATGCCACTAGTCAAAGGATTTCCTTATCCTGCAGATTTTGGGGAAAGGACACTGAGGTGCTCGTAAGACCATGTCATACATTCATATACCAAATAGCTCCTTTTTGGCCCAGGATTGGTCTAGCTAGTTCAGTATTCTGTAGTACTCTGACTGGATGCAGCTTTCAAGGTCTCTGGCAGTGAAAATCTTTCCCAACCTTTGGTACTCCATGAACTCCTTGCCCCCATGTTTGAATGGTCTTTTATATTAAAAATCATTCCTTGTTCACTTACAAATTTGCCACCATATAATGTATGACATGTCACTATAGCATTTCTGAAAGGAAAGGGTAAAAGTCTCTAACTGGTGCAGACTGTGTTACCTCAGTGTTGAGTGTCTCAGTGATACAATGAATTTTCTTTTGGGCTGTAATGAAACCTCCTGCTCAGTGACAGAAATCTAAAGTCTTCGATTATCCTCACAGATAAGATGTGCAGCCTCTACTAAAAGACCTTTAGTGAAGGAAAGCCCAAACCCCAAGACACTGGCTCCATATTTGAATCGCTGTAATGGCTGTAATGAAGTAAGACTTCAGTGCGCTCAGCAAGAGAATTAATGTAGTATAAAATATCTGGCAATGTTTGACAATTTAAAAATAAAAAAGCAGGCTGCTGGTTTGAGGGATTCTGAAACTACTAAATCACACAGCACAAGAGATTGGAAGCTTCATATATGCGGACAAGGGATGGCTAAATCAGACAGTACGTCAAAGATGCCTCACTATGGCTCAGTTCTGCACTGGGTTCTGGAAACAGGATATGGACTCAAGATCAATCTACAATGTCTATCAGAGTTTCCAAAAGGTCAAACATATTAATTTATGTAGTCCTCCAACTATAGCTGGTTTCCATCTTGTTACGTTATTTGAAGAATCATTTGTGGTGCTAGAGAGATATAAACTATGAAACCATAAACATTTCCTTGTAGGAAGGAAGCCTGGGGGAAAGCCAGATAAATGTTAGCCTTTATTGGTAGCTTAGGAAGTCTGTACTTGTGGGAGACAGATTAAAAGAAAGAAAGGGAGGGAAAGAAATTTCCCCCTTAAAAGGCCTCTCTGCCTATGGATATGCTCAGAGTCTTTCTGCACAATCTTTTTTCTGCTTTCAAGCAATAAATGTAGAATTGCTTGTCCTTTGATCTGAGCCATCTGATGGCTGTCTTCAAAGTCGCACTTCTGGTGTGGGATACTCTGCATTTTCCCAGGATTCAAAATATTATACCTGGTAAAATATTGAACTTTTGCCTTGATTGTCCAATATATTGCCTGTGATATGACTGGTGAGGATACATATAAAGTCCTAAAAAACATCTGTGATCTGGGCATCCAAATAACTGTTTGCTCCCCCATGATCCTGCTCAGTTGTTAAATTGTCATTTTAAGGCTCTGGATCACCCATTCATGGAAGGTTAGATGATTACTACTAGCAAACCTCTCTGTGATATATGTACAAGATCTTTTAGACCTGGTTTCTGATTTAATGGTAGTTTGATTTTGTAAGACTCTCTGATTACTAAGGTCAAAAGATAGGTTTAAATGTATCTTAAATGTCCTTCCTATAACTCAATTTTTATTTCTTATTTTTATTCATTTATTGCCCATTTTTCTTCCCAATGGAGACCCAAACTGGCCTATAACATTCTGTACATCTCCATTTTATCCTCACAACAACTCTTTGAGGTAGGGTTAGGCAGAGAGTATGTGACTGGCCCAAGGTCACCCAGCAAGACATCCACATCTGGGAAATGTCCGTCTTCTGTGAGCATCCTGTTTTGCCGCCCTTCGGAGCTGTACTAAAAAGATACTACTTTAAATCTGGAGTTTCTGGTTCCAATGGGCCACTCGCGGACTTTCCCCCATCTGATCGTTCCAGCGCGCAATTAAAAATGATGCCACCATTTTTTAAAAAATCTTGATTCTGCGCATACGTGGATAAACAAGGCCGCGATATCATGCCTATGCACATGCACAAAAAGGTTTTTTTGTAAAAAAGAAAAAAGAAACACCGCACGTGCCTCCTTCAGTGGTCGCCGTCTAGACAATCCACAGTGGAAGCAGCGTGCGGTAAGGCAATTCCCCCGGAGGATGTCTGGTCATGCGAGAATGTATTAAAAAGATCGGGATCAAATTTGAGCCGGCATAATGGTGGGATTAGCTATCCGTCTGAACGCACCCTTAGGGTAGCAAAGATTTTGGGGAGGGGAGGAAGCTCAGTGGGGATGTGATGCCATCGAATGCAGCCTCCAAAGCAACCATTTCTCCCAGGGGCACTGATCTCCTTAGTCTGGAGATCGGTTGCAGTTCCAGGAGATCCTCAAGCAATCACCTGAAGGCAAGCAACCATATATGTGGCTAAAAAATAAAATATGACAAAGTCATAAAACAGCACCAAATCATTAAATCTACAAACAACCAGAAATCCACTCATTAAAAATCTATCTAGAAACTAAAAACCGTTTCCTCCATTACGGAGCTAGTGATATGGCTGATGAAGACCCCTGGGAGTGGTTTTTAGATTTAATTCATGGTTCACATACAGTCTACAGGATGTCATGGGGATCCCCTGGAATTACAGCTCATCTCCAGACTAGAGACCAATTCCCCTGGAGACAATGGTAGCTTTGGAAGGTGGACTGTATGGCATTGTATTTCACTGAGGTCCCTGTCCTCCTCAGGCTCCATTCCCCAAATCTCTAGGAGTTTCCCAACCTGGATCTGACAACCCTGCCCCCACCCCACCCCCTGCTGGTGGCAAGGGGGGACCAGCAACCCTACCTACGCCCTACCCCACCCCATTTTTCAATGAATTAATCTGAATAAATGAGGGGGTTTTTTATACAATGAATTGCAAAACACCAGGGCTACACAAGAAATCAATAACACAGAAATAGTCATGTGACTGTAACATGGACCTATCCAAACACATGCCAAAGCTGCGGTTCCTTTACCTTTTGACAAGCATCTGGAGAGTGTCAGCCAAGCCTTCCATAAGGGTGATAACCTCAGAGTAAGCCAAGTCAGCACAAGGATTGCCATTGATAGATATAACTTCATCTCCCTCACACAGTCCAGCCTTGGATGCTTTGCTCTTGTTGCGAATCTGAAATAAATATAAAATAGAACCAAATCTTTTCATATAACTCATTGAAATCCAAACACAAAAAATGGAACTGCAAATACTGTATACCAGTAGGCTGATATGGATGATAACTTTCCCTTGCCAGTACTGTTACCTCTATACACAGTAGAGAATTGCCTTCCAGCCCTGCCCACGTTCTGGATGTCTGTGCTTGGGACACACACCAGCAAGCCAGTGCATGTGGCCCTAAACTGTACTGTCGATTACTGAATTTGGGGAGAAAAATAAACTACATGATTCAGGTCTGCTGCACATTAAATTAAACACACAATTTCTTTACATATTGCACCCATATATAGGAGGATGGAAGGCACAATTGTGATTTACCCATTATGAATCAAGAAAAGGTAAGGGGTGGTATCATTGAACCCGTTTCCCTCCAGTAACCAAGTAGATTGACCTTTTTATTTCCCATGAATTTTGATAGATTGATTTAAGCTTATGGAGCTTATTCTGATTTTATTGAACTTTCTGCTCTCTTGATTTGGTCCCTCTGTGCTTGGTCCTTGAGAGAAGATTGTACATCTGAACAAAATACACTGCTGCTCTAAGAGGCTTACTCCTCAAATTATATGAATCTGGATGCACTCGAACAGTTTCTATTTTTGCATCTTTGCCATCTAGCTGTGAAATGACGGGCACTGAACAGGTGAATGAAGTAGTGGGCAGAAGAATGTGAGTCATTTAAACAGAAAACAGATTATGATTATTCACACAACAATATGAGCCTGCGGAGCCTCCTTTCCTGCACAACTGTGATTTGCGTTTGTCATTTTTTAAAACTTTATTTATACCTCCACATTTCTTCCCGATGGGAACCCAAGAGGCTTACATCTCCCTCCTCTCCATTTTATCCTCATAACAACCCTGTGAGGCAGGTTACACTGAGAATGTATGACTAGTCCAAGGTCACCCAGTGAGCTTCCATGGCAGACTGGAGATTCGATCATGGGACTACCAGATCCTGTTCCAGTACTCTAACTGCTACACATGTAATGCTGCTTGTTGCAGATTTCATGAACTGTTGCAGCTTGTGAAAAGTTGTGCTGCTGTGCAAATACTTGGTCTCAGCAGGCAGCTTTCACATTCTCTGCCCATGGTTGTGTAATGAAACAAATCAATAATTTAAAAAGTGCTTATTGTGGACTAATTTGCTGCTATTCACAGGTTTTACCAACTGCTTTAATCCAGTCTTAGTGATACTTATCACTCACTTATGCATTTTGACTCCAATTAGCCCTTCCTGGCAACTAACACACACACACCCTCACTGGACTCAAACTTCGTTCAATGGTAACAAGTAAAGGATGCTTAGATTAGCTAGATATCAACTGTTAAATTACATGTACTTTGCTAGTTATCGATATGTTATTAATGCAAAACGTCAAAAACAACATCATTCTTAAGGTGAGAAGGAATTAATTCTTCCTAATGATACACCCTGGACTTCCCAGATTCATCATCCCATATGCTATCTGAGTCATACTCAGCTGCAGTAAAAATAAATTTAAGACCTGACTTGACTCACAGAGAACTCTGCTTCTACCACTGCCATAAGGGGTCAACTAGAGGGGGTGGGCGGGCATGCAGAACATTTTCCTTTTAGGCCAGATCATCCGGCCAAACCTGATTTGTTTTTAATAAAACAGATTTTGACCAGAAGCATGCTGAATTCATGGGACCCAAGGACTAGTGGAATCCAAAGGTATGACAGTTGGAATGGGTTGGATTGCACTGTTCAGCTGCTTTTATACTCAGATAGCAAATATTGGTTTATCATTCCTATTGGTTTGCAACTATTCCAAGCAAACAAGATCCTTTAAATGATCAATGAAAGACAAGAGAAAGTCATCCTCATGCTTATTAAATATGAAGTGTGGTCCTCATGAAGTGTGGCCTCCAAGCACAGCCATGTTGTGAATAATATGAATTTCCAATCGTTGGATAAGCTCAGGTTACTTGGGTAGACAAGAAAGGTCTGAGATTTCAATAACCCACATCATGTAAAGCATTATAGGCCATAAATAGAATCTTACATTGTTGGAACTGGCAGCTAATCCTTGCAGGCACTGGCAAGATGAATTGCTAGTGTTTTATGTGTGCCAGGGTCAATTAAGATCTTTGCATTCTTTTATAATTTATATAGCGATAAAATATTTGGAGAAATATTTAGAAATGAGTAATGATGTTAACCATATGGTAGTCTAAGAACTTGATTCTATTAGCCAGTATGCCAGGAATAGTGAAAATAGGGGTGGCCACCAATTGAACTCAAGAATACAGGACACTCCCTGCTATCTCTGTGCACACACAAATCATCATTCGGGCTGATCTAATTTTAGAGGAGTATTGCAACTGCATTTGCATACTATGAATTACATTTTTGTTAAATAAAATTAACAACAATTATAAGGAACATCAAAAATTGAAAGGAAAGGATGCTCTGTCATCTTGGTGCTTGGGGGGGTCAACAGTGGGAGGGCTTCTAATGTTCTGGCCCCACTGGTGGACCTCCTGATGGCACTGGTATTTCTGGCCACTGTGTGATACAGAGTGTTGGACTGGATGGGCCTTTGGCCTGATCCAACATTGGCATCTCTTATGTTCTTATATTCTTATGAATGTGTACTCAAAATTGTGAGAATGGCTAGTGTTTATACTTTGTACTTTTTGTTAGAAGATATTGTAGGAAAAACAAAAACTCATATGAACCTGTACTACCAAGAATCATCAGGTAGTGATGGCCACATGCACAGACATAAAAGGGGATTGGACACATTCATGGAGGACAGGGCTATCAATCGCTACTAGACATAGTGACTAAAGGAAACCTTGACATTCACTGAATCCCAATGCCAGGAGGCAACATCAAGGGAAGACCTAAGCCTATATGTCCTGCTGTTGACCCTGCAGAGTAACTGGTTGGCCACTGTGAGACAAGATGCTGGACTAGATGGACCACTGGTCTGATTCAGTAGGGTTCTTCTTATGTTATTTTCTTACCATAAGGAATAATCAAAACATGAGCCAATTTTTAATGGGATGGTTGTCTGAAAAATTATGTTTTTTAAGGAAATTTGTAATTTTACATATACTATTGTCCATGCATAATGTGGGAGCGGTTATCTTTTTTTAAAGAAAAAGACACAGCTGGTATATCAGCTGAAAATCTCTGAATGTACTCTTCGCCAGCACCTTCACCTAAGAATTTAGCAGGAACCAGGAGCTGCAAACTTTTTTTTAATAGAACATTTACATTGGATTTCACAGGCTTTGCATGAATTTCTAGTTCATAGTGCTATGGTATCCCTGAGAAGATCCACATCTTAGCACCAATGGTGTAACATATCAGCCATCACTAAGGCGGCAGCCAGAGGTCATTTCGGGGGGGAACGCGGGGGAACGCAGTTCCCCCGGGTGAGGTGCATGGGGGCGGGGCACATGACGAAGCCCCGCCCCCTGCTTCCGGCCGCCCCACTTCCAGCCCTCATTCAGCCAGGAGGAGGCAGGAGAAGAGGGAGGGGAAGTTGCTTCCTCCCCGCCTCTCACCCACCACTGCCTGCCTGGGGCCAGGGAGGGCCTTGGCGGGGCTTCCTCGCACTCCCGCTGGCCTTGCAGGTCCACCGCCGGGCCCCTGATGTCAGGGGGTGTGGCATATGCTAATGAGTTATGCTAATGAGTTCCCCTAGCTCTTTTTCTACGAAATGACCCCTGGCGGCAGCCAAACAGAGTGCTTATCATGTTGTGGGTGCACCTCTAAGTTTATCTCGGTTTATTTGTTCTGCAGAGATTTGATCAGACATCCCACTCTTCACCTGCTTCACTGTGTACTCACCCCATGGGCAACTGTCCAGACCATTGCTGCATGGTAACCACAGAGCCAGTGTATGGGCAGTGTTTTTTTAAACCTTGTCACTTGTGCATGCTTACAAACACTTATTCAAGGCACTGGGCAGAATTTTTAAAAATTCATTGTCAGCACATGCACATAAATGCATATTTGAAGCACCGCTCCCCAAAAATAGGAGGGGGAGTTGGAGGGAGTTTTCCTCTCAAAGACAATTCTCCTGGTCACCCCAAGCCTGAAGGATGGTCTGGGCACTGAAGCACGTCAGGGGTGATGCAGAGGAATGGGGGTGATTGACTGCTTATGCGTATATCGCTAACTGCCTTTTAAAAAATGGCACCAAAACAGAACAGTGTGAAATAGCTTGACTTCACAAGAGAGTAAACAGACATCCAGAAATGCATGCTGAAACTGGCAAGATCAGACTTTATCTGGTGTCAGGAAAGTCAGGAGTGAGAATGGGTTTGCCGACGGCTGGATACCAATGATGCCTCCTGACTGAATTTAAATCCAGAGGACAGAAGCAAGGACACCAGAACAAAAAGTCCATCAGACCTCAGCCTAAGAATGCATAATAGGTATTGTAAATAAGCATAACAAAAATACACAATAAAAGAAACCCTGATTCTGGGTTTGTATGATTGCATTTTGGATATTACTGGCACAGTCTGGAAACTGGGGCAAGTGATGCTCTGTCTTCTTGGTGCTTGGGGGGGGGTCAACAGTGGGAGGGCTTCTAATGTCCTGGCCCCACTGGTGGACCTCCCGATGGCACCTGGTATTTCTGGCCACTGTGTGACACAGTGTTGGACTGGATGGGCCTTTGGCCTGATCCAACATTGGCGTCTCTTATGTTCTTATGTTAACTTACACTTTATTTGTGTAAGAGATTGTGTTAAATGCCTGTTTGTTTATTTATTTAGGACCTGCTCTGTTTACTCTCTACTTAAGAAGAAAAGGAAATCAAACTTTGAGGAAAATCTTCTAGTTTATCTTGGCCTTTTCATGATGCAGTCGATGTGAGACTTT